ACTGGTTTTTTCTTGAAAGCTCAATAAGCCATTCGAGCGAATTTTGCATTGTTGAACACCAATACAGGTTCATACATAATATAGAGTCATTATCTGCACATTTGACAAAAATATTTTCATAGTTTTCAAAGATGATCGATATCATACGTGAAACAGTAATTTCAATAGTTTCCAAACGTGAACTTGAAGTTTGAAGTCATCGAAATTTCTCAAGTCATATCTTAGAGAAATGTTTTAGGCGTTTTCTCTTATATACTCGGGTTGATCGGATCCCCTAAAATCTGTGCCTGAACGTTTGCTTGAAAATGTTGCGTATCAGAACATCATATATAATAACGTCATAATATCTTCCAAACGTATTTAAAAGTTCTGAAATCATTCGGCAGGAATATACTCGTAAGTTTTCTATGAAGATCGATTATGCTATTACAGTACCCCAATATTCTCCAACCTGAATTTATGAAGTAATCTTATAGGAATATTTCAAGTTTTCAGCGGAGATCGATATGCTACATAAGAACAGTAACCCCGGTATTTTCCAACCATTTCTGAAGTAATTTCTTGAAATTATTCCAAATTTTCAACGAGGATAAGAACATATAACATCATAATATTTTCCAAACGTATTTCAAAGTTTTGAAATCATTCAGCAGGAATATACTTACTTGTAAGTTTTCTATGAAGATCGATCATGCTATTACATCAGTAACCCCAATATTTTCCAACCTGAATTTATGCTACGATATGCTACCAAAGAAGAGTAACCCCAATATTTTCCAACCTTTCCTGAAGTAATCTCATGGAAATATTTCAAAATTTCAACAAGGATCGATGTACTGCCTATATGAGAATATAGAATATTATATATAACGATAATATTTGCGAACATATTCCGAAGTTTTGAAATAATTTGGCAGGAAATGCTGTTTTCTATGGAGATGGAAATGCTACGTAAGAACAGTAACCCCATCAATAATGTCCATGCAACCTTTTCTGAAGTAGCTATATAGATAATCTCATGGAAATATCTCAAGTTTCCAACAAGGATAGGTATGCTGCGTAAGAACAGTATTCTCCTAACGTACCTACCTATTTTTTGTTGTTTTGAAATCATTTGGCAGGAATGTATTCCAAGTTTTCAATGGAGATCGATATGCTACGTAAGAACAGTAAACCCAATTATATGTATCCGACTTTATCATTGTGAAATATACCAAAATATCGCGCAAAGCGCCTAAGAAACGTAGGTGGACAAAGTACAAACAACAAAGACAAACATCGTCATCATAGACAACAAAGTCAACAACAGAAAACCATACAGTTAATTAAAATATTTCTCCTGCTCGGCATACTGTTAATGTTACCAGCATGCAAAACTATTATGTTATAATATCGCGGCCAAGTTCACATTGTTGCATGACCGTCGACACGAAATGCCGCTCGACAGGCTCGATGGGACGAAGATGCGGCAACGCTGCGAGGCGCAGACCGTGATCTTGGCATTTCTTACCTCAGACGAAGAACAATTCGAAGGTGTACTTCGTTCTGACTAGGTTGGCATGGTGTTTCCGCGAATATCATTAGAAGTCGAATTATGCTGTTGCCAAGTTGTGAAAAATATGGATGATCTCCAATTTATCATGGAAGGAAAGAATGTGAATGAGCTCGAAGTAGATTGTCTGTCGAGAATTCCCCAATAGTGATTAGTGTCCTATACATCACATTTTGAAGAATACTATAACCACATGATAATTATCATAACCACTGTGAAAAATCACCACATTACTATTGAGTTAGATCTCTATAGGTAATAAGATTTTTTCTGTGATTGATCTGGCAACACTGTGCTAATGCCTATCTTCATTATAGTGACACCTGTAGAACGTTGCACATATTCGTTCAACAGGTGGATACATAGGTAACCGTGCACATACTGCCTTCATTGCTTCTTTTGAAATGTAAATTATGCACTCAAGGCTTTACCTACTTGAGGCATCACACAAGGCAGTATAGGTATATTATGCACTTGGGAAGCTACAATAAGTTTCATGAATATGGATTTCGAATTTTAATTCAGTTTTCCTAGATTGACATTTTTGACACATTATTAGTATGGAAGGGTGAGTCGTTGTTTTCTAGGATGTCAGAACTATGATATTTGATTAGATATTTTTAAAAGCCTTATACCTATCCACTTTGAGTATATTGAGTATGCCCCTATAGGCATGTCAGTCGCCAAAAAAATAAATCTATACTTATCTATACTTCTATACTAATATTATAAAGAGGAATGATTTTATTGTTTGTTCGATTGTTTGTATGTATTGAATAGGCTTCGAAACTACTGGATCGATTTGGTTGAAAATTGGTGGGGAAGTAGCTTAGAACCAGGAGGAGGTTATAGGATACTTATTATCCCGGTACCATGAAATTCAAGATGACGGATCTAATATATTGAACGAGTTTTGTAATTATGGTCCGATTCTATTCAAAATTGTTATCTGAAGGTTTTCGGGGTCGAAGATTATGATTCTTTCGTCAGAATTTGAAAATTCGGGCGGAATTTGGAAATTCAAGATGGCGGAACCAATATGGTGGACCAGTTTTGTAATTATAATCCGAGTCTTTTCAAAATTGGTACCTAGGGGTTTTCGTGATCGGGGATTATGATTCCTTCGTCAAAATTCAAGATGGCGGATTCAAAATGGCGGATTTTATAATTAGGATCTGATTGCATTCAAATTTGGTATATGGTGGTTCTCGAGGTCGGAGATTATAATGCTTTCGTCAAATTTGGGAAATTCAAGTGAAATAAAAAGAAGTTGAAGTAAATGGTAGTTTTAAAAACTGAAGAAACATAAGTACGTTTTTATTGATAGCGAAAATAAAAATATGTATTGAAAAGGAATATCCTCAGATATAATAAAAAAAAAGATGTAGAAAATAAAATGATAATAGTGCCTTGATGAATATTGAACTGAAAAAATATTTCATAGGGAAACGGGTTATAGAACAACAGATGGTGTGATTATACAGGAGAAATTGAAAAAATAAGTGCAATTATTTCAAATCCTTATAAGGAAGCTCGATGTATACTATCGAATGGCACCATTTCAAAACATATAGGGACCAAAATGAAATTTTGGATAAAACCCTACACTGTAGCAATTCTTACGTAACCTCTGTTTAAATTTTTTTGGGGAAGGCACAATCACGCGGAGTTCAATCATTTGATGAAGTGGTGTGTTTGATTTTTTTCTCGATATTTGTTCAATTTTCGGAAAGAAATTTCTCGTTAATTAGATGAATTAGAGAAAATCTGATTTTTTGAGAATATTCGTAAGACTGTATTATATAGACGTGCTGAATATGTTAATTGTGTTTACTTATATCGAAAGCACCTCATATATTAGACATCTATCAATATGTTCAGGTGAATCCAGATTTTTTATTTTTGGCCAGTTAAAATTTACGAAACAAAATTTCCAGGTGTACAGTTTCAGACGAATTAGAAAAGAGATAACAAAATCGGCGTCATGTTGGAAGCGTCATCTTCTTTTTCGAATTCCAGCTCAAAATTCGTACTCCCTGACAATGACAAAATCATCCGTCATATTGAAGCTGCCATCTCTAATTAGTTTTCGATAGTCGCGTGTGAAGTGATGTTGAATAAAAGTCTTCAATAAAAGTGATGTAAGTGTTGTCTTGAAACCAATATACATTTTTGGACCATGTTGCAGCGCATGAAAATTGCACTTCATTTAATTAACACACTTATATTTTATATTAGCTTGGTATGTATGTTTGTATATTTGTATGTAACGTAGAATTTACGAACGTGATTTTTACCCACTTTCAAAACGTCGAATTGGATTGAAATTGGATTGAAACTGAAATGGTGAATGATGCTCTGCCACCAAAATTTGAAAATGTTCCTTCACCAAAATTTCAAATGTTCGTTTTTTGTTCGAATTATCTTACAATGCCTTTTTATACCCAGAAAAGTTATTCTTATGAATAGTTACATCCAGAGAGACTGGTGGTACTTACAAAAAACTTGAAAACGCGCTTTTGTAGTTAGCCGAATTAAAAAATAGAAAAATCCGTAAGGGGTTCTTTTGAATATTCCTCCTCATTCCAAAAAAAGCTGTAAGAGATCATTTGAACATCACATTTTCCCATGGTCCTTTTCCATGGCCACCTCGGTCACCTGATCTTAATCTACTTGATTTATTTCTTTGGGGCTATCTTGAATGTTTAGTCGATAAAACACCTGTAAATATCAGGTATGAGCTTTTGAATCCAATTCTTACATCTGCCGTAAGAAATGATCATCATCACATATGTTATCTCGAGTATATACAACACAGATGTTTAGACAACTTCAGAAAATGCGTTGGAGTTCAAGGTGCCCATATTGAAAACCATTTTTCATAATCATGTCATTAAATAGATAAATGAAGCGTTTATTACCTCTGAAACGATTGGAATGTATGTTTTAAAATGAGATTTTTTTCTAGAAAGGTACAAGATATCGATTAAAATAAAGTATATATGATCTTTCCGGACACTCTATACTTTCAGGTACGTTTGCAAGTTTGTAGGGCCCTAAGTATGTATTTATTAAAAAAAACAAGGATATATTATTCAATCCTGGCGCAATATATAAGTACCTTCAAGACCCCCAAGATTAGCCATGTGTAGCCATCCTACTATACAGACCTGTGTTCCGGAAATCCTTCCATTGAGGCACCGAAGTACCAGATTAAACCTTCGAAAAGTGCAAAACAAAAGTACCGCCAAGCCGGGCTATCTCTGACCTTCCTGAGCCCGCAGACTCGCTTTACCGTACCCCCACCACCGTTATCCTTGCGCCGGTGCCAAGACACTCGGAATAGGTAACCTCTACACAGGTTCACGTTGACGGCCGAAGGGTACCGAGGGGTACCGGGGGGTACGACACAACGGTTCACAGCGTTGGCAGCACCAGCGGTCATCAGTCTTAACAAGGACCTCCAGAGATAGACACGTATTACATGGTGTGTGTGGTGCCGCGTACCATCACTTTTTTTGACTAGTGTGTTCCAAGGACCTCAGCTTATAGGGATTCGTTGCGCGCGTATATCGCACTCTTGATCGGGTTCTGAACGGTGTGATGTGTAAACTTTGTGACTGATTTGTGGTTCCTTGTATTCGGTGGATGATACACGAGTGATTGTAGCGGGGCAAGATGCCTAAGATATTTTTGATCAAGAACAGGCTGCACCAGCAGCAGCTAAGGCTCGAGTCTCAGAACAGTGGGAACTGGAAGAATGACCTTGGGATCGGGGATACGCAGCCTTTGTCGCTGATTGTGCAGAAAAAATGCGGTGAGTTGACACTTTTCGGTAAAAGTTCACTTTTTTTTATCGCTTGGAGCGCACGAAAGGGAATCCTTATCAGGCGATGGTTTTTTTTTTTCGAAAATTCTTTTTGGTACTTACGTATTTTCGTCTGAAAAACACGAATTTCACAATGAAAATGTAAACAAACCGCTAGTCATCCAGATATTTTACGAAAAAGTTCGACATTTCACCTTCTTTTGCCACCCATCTTGGATATTCATTTCCTGTCCTTCTTTTTTCATTACTGAACACTTTATATCGAGCTTTATATACTCACGTTGTACTTCAATAACACATTTAATTTTCTGAAATCAACAAGAAGTATGGTTTATTTGGAATTTTTTCATGTGCAAATGAGGTAAACAATAGTTTGGTTTCTGGCAAATTTCGAATTTGTTTGACTTTGAACTTTATTTGACATCTCGTATTTGTATGGTATGACATTTGAGTCATTTTACAATTGAATGGTCGTCAGCTGGTGTCCTGGTGTGATCGTTTACCTCATCGAAATATGAAAAAATTCCAAATAAACAATACTTGTTGATTTTAGGAAATAATAGTTATTTATTATACAAGGGAAAAAAGTAGTAGATTTTAGCTCCAGGTTGTGTTGTCTCCCGACGCGTAGCGGAGGGAGACAAAAAACCGTGAGCTAAAATCTAATATTTTTCCCGTGTATAATACACTATTTTTTTCTGTGACAGAAGGAAGGACGAATCAATATTGGGAAGATATTACATTATTTCGAAATCTGAAAATTATCGACGTGAAATTTCAAGTTTTTAACAGTAAGGACACCTGCGTTTTATAGACATCTTCATCATTCTTTTGAAGTAATCAAATATCTGATGTCACTTCTGTCAGTTCAATTCTGTGATTTGATTTTAAAAAATTGCGAATTCAGTAGTTGTTTAGTAATATACGAAACCGCGAAGTCGAATGGAAGATAAAAGGACTTGCAGTTCTTTCTCGGAGACGGTATTATTGACTTATTTTTCGGAACTATAGCACAACAAAAGCCATTAACAGAGTATATATATGTGATATATATCCGGGAAAGAAGTACTCACTTTTTTCCCACGGGAAAAAAGTAATTTATGAAAAGTGACATTTTATAACCTGCCAACAGAGATGAAATGCCAAACTTTTTTCCCGTCACAGAAAAAAAAAGTGTTATTGAAGTATACAAGGTGAGTATATAAATTGTCCAGTGATGGAAAAAGAAGGACCAGTAGTTGTAAATGAATATCCAAAATGGGTGGGAAAAGAAGGTGAGATTTCGAAAAAAAAAATCGCATGATACGTGCACTTTTACCCATTTGTCTTTTGGTGCTTGAAGAAAATAACTGATAATTATATTTTAGTAAAATAAATAGCTATTAATCTACCTACAAATTATAAACAAGTCATGTGTACCCAATTGGGTAGTCCTGGGTTTATACATGTTTACATTTAATCAATTTTATTTTTATACTCCAACTCAGGTATTTGAAATCCATTTTTCTTTCAATTTCAAAATTTGAAAAATATGTAAACAATTTCAAGTGTATATTCCATATGAAAAAATATTAAAAAATCAATAGAAACTCTTTCCAAAAGCCCACATATTTTGACTTACATAATTAACTTTGAAATCATCAAGTCAATTTCTTTAATTTGAAATTTCTAGTTTCGATTCCTCTTCCACCTTGGATGTAAAATAATGGAAGTAACACGAGAAGAAACATCATGTTTTATCATCATCATTTAAATACCAGAACCGTGCTTCAAATTCCAAATTATTCATATTTTCTGAAATGAATGAGATGAGTATGAGTATTTCCGGGTATTTCAATAAATATTGTTCTCACATACGGGGTTCAACACCCAAACATACGCTGATGCTCTTGGATTCTACCAGAGAAGAGCAATCCGCCTGGTGGATGATGCCACACTCACCAATAGTTTGACTTCATTAGAACACCGTAGAAAAGTCGGCGACCTTTCACTTTTCTGTAGATAATTCCACGGGAAATGTTCCTGAGATATTCCTGCTATCATTCCATCACAAGCCTACTCCGACGAACCCTATAGGCCTAATCCGAGGCCTAATCTGCATATCCATTCGTTGTCAACCTTGAAATATGTCGAACAACACTTTACCAAAACTCGTCCATAGAACGGCAAAGCCGATATAGGGCAAAGCTTTGGAGTTCTTTGGCGATGGAAGTGTTACCAAGAACTTATACCTCCAAAAGTTCGCAAAAATTCCAACACCTACCTCCTCTCCCTGTGCTTCCCAGGTACGCACGATGTTCTCCGAACATCATAGGAATTTACTTTCGTGCGCTCCAAGAGACAAAAAAACGAGTTTATAGCACGTGAAGCCGAATATTTCGAAGTTTCAAATGCCCATATTAGAGTACTAATTGGTCACATTGAATCGCGTGATACATTTCAGACAATTCGGACGTATTCGAATCTGCTCGCTGAAAAATTAACGAGGTAAGCATCAGTATGCTAATAGCGGACCAAGGTAAAACTCCCCGACCGAACTCGGCCTTTACCAAGGCCCTGTGCAGTTGTTTTTCTTTTTCCTTCAGAGCCCACGAAACAAAATCCTTCGAGTTTTGATAAAGAGTTGTTCGGCATATTTCCAGTTTGACAAAAAAAGGATATGCATGCTGACTGAGCTTGTCGAGTTCGTCTAACTGGTATTGCTAGTGCGATGGAATAATATAACCGAGATTTCTGAAGAATATTTCCTGTGGAAGTACCCAGGAAGTACCTATCTATAGAATAGTGATAGGTAACTGATTTTTCATCGGGTGTCCCAATGATGTCAAGGAATTAGTGATTGTGACATCACCAACCATTCGCCAACCATGTGAATGCGGCTCGTCCCACAGAATAGAATCTAAGAACATCAGGGTATGTTTGGGTGCTGAACCCCATAATGTAGGAACAGTATTGTGAAACGGAAGGAGAAGTAGTGTAAAGTAGATTTTTGCGGAAAACACTAATCAATATAACAAATCTCAATAGGTAGGTATATTACGACATGATGGGTTCACTTCGAGAGATTCAGGCTTCCGTTAAGAAGACCAATATTAATCCATGTATACCGAGGGAAATACCGCAGTCATAATTGTGTACACCAAACTTCAATTTCACAAGGAATTCCAATTAATCCCAGTTGTTTGTCCGTACCAGAATTATACCGCACTTCACACAAAGGATTCCAAGAAATTCCAAGGAATCCCAAGAAAATTCCGGGAAATCCAAGGAATTCAAAGGAAATTCGAGGAATTTCAAGGAAAACCAAGGAATTTCAGTTATTTGTACACCAGAATTATACCACATTTCACCCAAAGAAGTCCAAGGATATCCAAAGACTTCCAAGGAATTCCAGTTGTTTGTAGACCAAAAATATACCATACTTCACCCAAGGAATTCCAAGGAAATTCAAGAATTCTAAGAAAATCCAAATAATTCCAAGGAAATCCAAAAAATTCCAAGAACATCCATAGAATTCCAAGGAATTCCAGTTGTTTCTACACCAGAATTCCACCGCGGTTTACCCCTCGATGTAGGTATATGATGATAATGACTCTGTATATCACAATGCCATCAAACACTTGTCATGACTCACTCGGTATTCAATCCGAACAAAAGAATGAGCTGACACGGACACCTGAAAACGGTTCTTTAATTCGTATTCTAAGCCACTAACGAATAAACAAAACAACGGACGAACGTTAGTTAGTCAGCGCACACCAATAGTCTTGAAAAATGCCAACGTGGAAAAATCCAACGCGTGAAGTGCGTATGGCCTTCTATGTTTGGAAACAGCAATGCCATCGCGTAGGAATTGGCTAAGTCTCATTCGAATGAGTTTTCTTCACGGTTAACGATTTTTACACTCAAAATGTTCTGGCATCATAGCAGAAACAAGTGCTTTCCTATTTTGTCACTTTGTCACAGCAGCAGGTTTATACTTTATAGATATTATATACAGACTGGTACCTGCCATGAGTTTAGTGAGGAATTTTATCTACAGATTATATGGGACCCGAGATGGAACCCTTGATGTCATTCCGGAAATAGGGTAACTCCTCGGGTTACTTGACTTAAGGTTTACATCTCGGTTTACATAATTGGATAGTTATATGTAGTGCACCTATGTACAGGGTGGCCAACTAAGACTCCAGAGTTCGATTTCTCTGTTGTCTTGAGAGATACAAAAAAAATTCAAGGATCAAAATTGAAGTAATAACCGAGCTCCACATTTCAAAATTTCTTTGAAATACACAGGGTGTTTCGTACGGTCACAGGACATCAAAGCTATGTTTTTTTCATTGGAACACCCTATATTTTATTTCATTTTTGAATTCTCCCTGAAGATATGATTTCAACGACGTATCATACTTAGGGTCTAGCAGTGAAAGTTACTGACATGTAGGGTGTGCAAAATCGAGATTTTCCAAGTTCAGGATTTTTTTCTGTCGAAACTGTTCATTATTCGTCTAAACGGTTTACATGTCCCTATCTCAACTTTTCACTCACTATCAATTGGTGTTCAATTGAAATTGATACAAGGTGGTCAAAAAATCTAAATTTATAATTTGTTTCAATTGAATGTCATTGATACTGGGGTGCTTTCATGAAAAGTGAGACAGAATTTACCGGAATTTACTACTTCAGAAATGAACATTTTTCAGAAGGAATATGAGTACTCTGGTACTCAGTGTATTAAATCTGGAATGAACAGATTATTGAAAAAATCAAAGTGATACTCGTTGGTAGTGTTCGTACTATCCCTAAATAGAATCGAGCAGTTTATTTCCCTGCATGCATGGAGACTTCAATAGTACCAGACGTCGCAAAATTATAGCTGTGTTTCACTTTATTTAAAGTGATCAAAAATTTGAATTTTCATCAGATATAGCGCTAATGGCCAAGACGCAGACGGTGCAGAAATTTTCAGATTTTACTAAAATTCGAAA